TCCCTTCCCTTCCCTTCCCTTCCCTTCCCTTCCCTTCCCTTCCCATTAGTGGGCCTCAAATTGGTTGTTCTCTCATAAGGTGTTCACAAGGGTGGCTTAAATTATTGGCTGTTTTCAAATTGCAGTTAACTTGAAATGTACAGTGAATACATGCATTTGAAACTGTTTTCTAGTGCAAAGTACTCAACTGGCTGTAACAAAATAAAGTACATGAAGATGTTGGAAGTGGGGTGTGAACCCATTTTTCTACAAACTAAAAGGATGAACAGCTTTAGTTTAAACTGCTTCTCCCAGCAAGGGATCAATTCTAAACCTCAGTCCAGCTGACACAAAGACACAGAAAAGCAGCTGTGTCTTCACATGCTGGATCCAGCTGCCACAGAGCTTCTGTGCCATTCAATAACTTCCTGTGGGTTATGGGTTCAGGGACACACCTGGAGAAAGATGCTGGAATTACATATTTGTGGACAGTCTCTTGGGTTGTACATAACTTGGCATGAGCCCACAGTGTGCCCTGACAGCCCAGAAGGCCAACAGCATCCTGAGCTACATCAAAAGAGGAGTGGCCAGCAGGTGGAGGGGGGTGATTCTGCCCCTCTGCCCACATGGAGCACTGCATTAACCTCTGGGATCCTCAGTGCAGGAAAGACGTGGACTTCCTAGGGTCTAGAGGATCTAGGTGATCCAAGGGATGGAGCACCTCTCCTATGAAGACAGGTTGAAAGAGCTGGGATTGTTCAGCCTGGAAAAGAAAAGGCTCTGGGGAGACCTCATTGTGGCCTTCCAGTATCTGAAGGGAACTTATAAAAAAGAGGGAGAGATATGTTTTCAATGGATAGATAGTGATAGGATAAGGGGGAATTATCTTAAACTAGAAGAGATTTAGATTAGATGTAGTGAGGCACTGGAACAGGTTGCCCAGAGATGCTGTGGGTGACCCATTCCTGGAAGTGTTCAAGGCCAGGTTGGATGGGGCTCTCAGCAACCTGGTCTAGTGGAAGGTGTCCCTGCCCATGGCAGGAGGAGTGGAACAAGATGATGATTCTAATGATAACTAATTCTGTATTCAAGTAAACTTACAGAGCCAAACAAGATGTGCCTGCCTTGGGATCAGAACGTTGCTTCTTCCAGCAGTGCCCAGTGGATACTGAGGAAAAAACAAGAATTTAAGTAAAACAAGAAAGATTGAAATGCTAGCATTAACACCAGCTAATTATATGGTTCCAGATCTGTAACTGCAAATGCCTATTCCTTTCATCTTAAACTTGTCTACAAGAGCACATACTGACTCTTTTGTTCCACCAATACAATAATTTGCAGTGTCCAGGTGCTAAAATTGCCTAATGTGAATCTGAAGACTACCATATTGATGTGTATTTGAAAAGCATACCATTAGTAATTCGGCTCATAAAAACAGATACTGGAAGAGTAGGGAGTGAGACCAAAAAATAAACACAAGAAAACTTTTAAGTGTCTGGGAAAGTAAGAGAACAAACATAAACACAAGAAGCAAAAAGGATCCATAGATGGCAATATTTTTATTTTAGAAAGGCTGAGGGAAAGTTCATGGTCCTCAGATGTAGCTGTAACTGATGAGAAGGCTTACCCATTCTGAAAAGAGATTAAAAGAGAACAATACCATCAGGTTCCTGGAGGATTTCTTTGCAGCAAGGATATGTGCATCAAATGCTTTCAAAACAAAACAAAATGTAAAATAGCTAGTCTGAGAAAAGCTGTAAGCACTAATACCATTAATCAACTAAAGTAGAAACATAACATGAAATTATATTATGGAAATAATTTTTATCAAGATGAACAGGACAGGATGATGCAAGTGCTTGCAAACCTGCCTTTAGGGATCCTGCTGCAAAACAATTCAATTATTCAATGAGGGGAAAACACAGTTACTTTCTATAAAAAGTAGGGAAGGTGCTTCTACCTCCAGCCCAAGTACAAGTAATACTGACATGATAGAAGAAACTGAGTCTTTACCACTGGTACTGATAGTAGAAGCAAAGGACCTGGGTATATTAGTGCATCACTAATAATAAGCCAGCAAAATTTTGAATCTCTGAAAAAAAAAAAGGCAAATATATACAAATGAGCCTCAGGTAGACATGTCTAACAGAGATATGAAGGCATTGATATTATTGTCTAATGCACAAGGGGGAATTCACTGGAAATACCATACTTACAGAATCAGCACCTTTCAAGGAAA